AACAGGTCGACCGGTTAGCATTGCCAAACAATGAAGCGCTATCCTCCCCCTGACGTGGAAGATCAGTTGAAAGTAGCAATCTTTCATTCGACAGCATAAAGCTACATATCGTTTCATTGCATATCTAATTCAGAGTTATTTATGCTACACAGTTGGGGAGGTTCGGACATTGACTCGGGTAATGGTTCACGCACGGATAGCGCAGTGACAAAGAGGCCTGTACGAGGACGAATCAGTGTCTGCAAGGCCAACGCTCTGGTGGCTCTCATCAAAAGGTCATCACTGGCGACATGAGGCCCCTGGCGCGAGGAGAAAAGGTGGAAACTGGAGAGAGTCTCAGAGAGAGAGAGAGAGAGAGAGAGAGAGAGGGAGAGAGGGGTCAGGGAGGAAAAGAGCAGCTGCAGAGGCTGCAGAGAGGGCAAAGGATGTGGAATGTGGATAGGACACAAGTGACTAAGCGGGGAGATATAGTGGAATAGGGCCGGACCGTATAGAGTAGGTACAGACAATGAAGGACCCACCTGTAGGGTCGTGTACGCACTTTGTCACCCGTAAGGCACCTGTGGGGTCCAGTTCACACTTAGCCACCCGTAGAGCACCTGTGGGATCGTGTGCGCACTTTGCCACCTGTAAGGCACCTGCGGGGTGGTCCTGTGCGCACTTTGCCACCCGTAAGGCACCTGTGGGGTCGTGTGCGCACTTGGCTAACCAACGCGGTGGTCGACCGAACGGAACGACCCCACCCGCGCTGGCTGCGGCCGGCGGCGGAACAACGTGCCGCCATCCGCCCACCGGGAACGGTATAGGAGAGATTAGGGGAAAGGGACGTCGGGGCGTGAACAATGTACATACGTTGCTGCATGTGAGAAAGTGGAAAGACTATAACTTTTACATATATTTCGATAGTCAATGGGTAAATATAAGGTTAACAATGAGTGGTGATAAATACCGCGGTAAAGACATTTTTCAGAATTTATCATAAATGTGATGTGTACCGATCACAATTAAAATGTGTTAAGTTCAAGCGTACCAATTCAATATTGAACGTATGCATGTATAACGGTCGCTATATATGCGCAATGCGCATAGTTCATGCTCCCATATGTGCCTGAGGCACGGCTCAGCCGACTAAATGTTGAATGTGTGAACATTTAAATGCGTGAAAGCGTTGATGACATATATGCGCTCTTTTGCTACGGCCACGAGCGGGTAATGAGGCTGAAGGTAAGTACCATTGCGGTCTGTAGGCACACCGCGGCGGGGTAACGGCCGCTCCGGCCAGTGCAGTGACCACTGGCCACGGCTGCGGGGCGGGCAGGCGAGTCGGCTCTCAGACAAATAAGTAGTTCATAGGTGGAATTAGGAGTTCCGTCACTCAGACAAGTTAATAGTTCATAGATGACCGTGCGTGGCAGTAAAGCTTCCAAACGACCGCTGCACCACCCCATTGCATCGGCGCTAATCACAGGAATACGGCAGCTTACAGCTGCAGCGCAACAAACGATCGTCTAATTACTTACGCAGATGGTACGCAATGATGGCATTAGCATGAGGAGTGGCTGCCGGTTAGGCATAAGTATTGTATGACGTGTGTTTAGTTACATCGGTTCCCAGGAATTTTTGTAAGAACACGCCCTGCAACCGGGCACCGTCCCGATCGGGACAGCCTCTCGGGGCCGGGACCTTCTCCACCAGGAGGTTTGTCGGTGGCGTGTTGAGCGGCGCGGACGCCGAGTCCGTCTGTCCGGGCCGACTGAGTTCCTTGCCCCCGCGGTGGCGTGCCGCGCGCACCGCGCTGCGCTGCAGAGGAGTCACGGGTCACTTCACACGGCTATCGCGCCCCGTAAATACGCCACCCAGAACAGCATTCATCGAAAATGAGTTGGCTGAACATTTGCATACGGGGGTGCGGGGAGCGCCGCGACGCCGAACGCGCTCAAGCGTGCACTGCCGGTGCGCGCGGCGGGACGCCTCCTCCGCGGGGCGGCGGCCGTGCCGTGCCGGGGTCGGCGCGATGTTCGGCTTCCGTGCCGGCTGCCGAGCGGCCGGGTCGTGACACGCACCCTGAGACCGAGTGGCGCGCTCAGCCGTGACCGGAAGCCCGAGAGGGCTGCCGTTAGCGGCCGGGGAGCGCGGCTGCGGCGCGGCCGGAGCCGACGTCTGTCGCAGTGTCGCCGTCGTGTCGGCGGTGCACGGGGAAAACATTCAGCGGCATTCGGATTCCGTATCTCGGACGACGGCAGGTGGGCTGCGATTCGATGACGGATCCGTCAGCGGAGAGACGCGCCGACATATGGCCGGGTTAACGGACCGGCGACTCCACTCTGCGGCCCGCCGCTGTCACCGCCGCCAATGACTGATGACAGCGCGGCATGTAGCCGGCCAAGCATACATAACCTGGATAGAAAGCACGGGCCACGGGCACATCCCATCCCGAGTAACGTTTTATCTAATAACGAGAAATACAATGTCAAAGCACTCCTCAATCTGTGTCTCCAGTGTCTGATGGACCATGTCCGGTGCCTGACGGACCATCCCCAGTGTCTGACCATCACGGAAATCTCCAGTGCCTGACGGACCATCACGGACCACTCTCAGCGTTTCACGAGCCGTTCCCGACCGATCGGGCCGGGAGGCGTGCCCTGCAGCGGAGAGCCGAGACCCGCGGTCGCGGCTCCACCATAATGTCACGACCGACCAACGCACACCGTTGGGTTTTACGACAAGGAGCCGACTGCGGACGCTCTAAATGGGTGGGTAAACGTTTGAAGAGCGTTTTATAGCGCGTGTTGGACTCGGTAGTCGGAGGCTGCGTCACGGGTGACTGGGCACTCTTACGGTTGGGGCAGGGCCGCTCATGACCCACGGCCCGCGAGCCACGAGAGTCTGACAAACGGCCAATGCCGACACGAATGTAACACTCGTACCGAGATGTGCACCGTTGTTCGGAAAATGACTCCAGTACATGGTGGGCCGACCTACGCTAGTTAATTACAGGCAAAGGAAATACTAAACCATAGCAAGCGAACAAGTACTCACGCCCTCTTACATCACCGGGACAATGCACTGCCGCCCACAGAGCAGTGAAAAACGGTGGATGTTGTTCCAGCCATCTCCGTTCGCCACCCGTAGATGTAGTCCATACGACTTGCTGCACGAGCGACCAACAATTATTTTGATGCTCATTGAATTATGAAAGATGATCCCTACTTTATTATATTTCGCCTTACCATAGGTAATTAATCCGCAGCTGAAATTAAATACCACGTTTAGCATCTTTGGTGAAGTGTTTCTAAAACATCAAACATGAAAAAATAACATTCTCAGTTATCAGAAAACGGTCCTATGGCTAAGCACCTACCCATAATTTCTAATTTTACTCAGACAAAAAAAAAAGACAGCAGAACGGACAGGATATCACAACGATGAGAACGCAGGTAATCATTTTGAGCCCATCTTCAACCGTACCCCAGCGACCGGTCTATAAATGCGCACTACGCTGCCCAAAAGTACGGTGTCTCGTGTAACACCCGCAATCAGCACTGACGCTTCATCAGCTCGCCTGACACCTCAGGGCCCGGGACCGCTCGATCCCGAGTCAGCTCGACACAGCGGTACCGGAGTGCCCCCGGCCAAGGACGATCGGCGGGAATCAGAGCGAGTCGAGACGCCGCGGCCCCTCCGAGGGGAACACGGCCCAAATTACAGGGTCATTACGGCTCAATGTCGAATGGGAAGGAGTGCCGTGCGGGAAGAGGTGCACATAGTAGCTAATCCTTATCGATGTATAGTAAACACGGATCACCGAGAGCCGAAACGGTGAGACATACTGCATTAACATTAAGCACTAAACTGCCCGCAAAATCTGTCCTGAGGCTCCATATGCTTCTTTTTAACTCATTCACAACCTAGCTGACTTAATTTTGAGTATGGAATTACAACTACAAGTAGCACTGCACCTGTGCGACACGCCGGCCGCGACAGATCCTAAGCCGGGTAGTCACCTGTCAGTCGGCCGCACTGAGCTATCAATTAGCACCAGCCGGTTCAGGTGCGCGTGTCCGGTGCCCGTTTGTGGCCGGTACACCAATGAGAGCTCGTCCATCAGTGCCATCTGCTGCCCAGTCACCGGACGTGCAACTGCACTTACACACAGCTGCCCAGTCATGCATATGAATACACATGTAAATAAATATGCATGGGAATACGTACACCCGGAAGGTGATGAAACACCAGGTCAAAGAAGGTGAGGGTTGATCGTATTCGAATGCACCGACCCGTCAACAAATTATACGGCCATTTATCACATTAGCTGGCTCTATAAAGAAGAAACATTTTTTTTCCTTTGCTGCTCAACTTTCCGATTCCTGTATTGTATGGCACATGTGAGAACACCGGTCCTGTATGCTGAAACCTTTGATTGGCTTTTGTTATAGGTAGGTCTCAGTTCGATATCGTTCGATGTTCAACCAGGATCTGGGCGATCTCAGTTGCCGACAACTGTTTTTGTCACTCCAAACGAGCAGTTCCGCGTTCTCGCAGCTTGTCATTTCGCCCAGTCACGAGCGAATCAGATATCGGTCCGATATCTGATCGGACCGGGCCACCGTCAGGCGTCACGACACCCGTATTCCATCGACGGCTCGAGCGGCCTGTAAGGACTACACACATTTACCATACGTATGGTTATCGTAAGTTACATACAGCCCCCTCGAACGCCATCCCCGGCCCCCGTGTGTCGGCAGCTCGCCGTGCCCGGATCGACAGCACACACCCGCCTCGTTCGGCGCGCCCCGTCGCCAATATCCCGTGACTACGGCGCTGCCGTGACACGCGCGCCCGTCACAGAGTGTGTGGCACGGCAGCGGCCCGCCGGGACGCGCCGCCGCCGCCGCCGGCGGGCCGGGGAGCCAGCCATCTGCCGTCGTGTGTGACGACCGCTCGCGCCGCACGGCCCGCAGCAGCCGAGCGCGCCGCGGCAGTCGGCGGAGAGACGGCGCGGCAGCGACGTGTGCGCGGCGCGAGCGAGCGGTGCCAGTGGTCCCGGACAGGAGAGCGGCCACCCACCGACCCGCAGGTCAACGTCAGTCAGTCCGGGCCATCAGCAGACTCACAGCGGCCACCTCAGCGACCAGCAGACTCGGCACTCAATCAGGTCAGTGCCAAATACCGGCTAACAGCTCAGCCAACGACTATAAGTACATACATATAACCCACTAAACGCCCAACCGTTCTGCCGTTTTCCACATTCTCCTCCGTATCAAACTGCTGAGAGGTTTGCGAGGTGATCTATCGTGTCTGAATTGATCAGTCGCTAAAACGACATCTCCTGTCACGATTTGCTCGCAGCCGGAGGTTAATGTCTATAGTCTACCGATCGTCACTGATTTGACAATGAATGCAGTGGACACGTTTCTCGTGTTACCGGCACCTTTCAAATTTATGAAATTGACAGAATAATACTTGAGTATGCACGGTCGACTGATTTGGGAGGACGTTAAACGGATTCAGTACATCTGAGTTCAGCATAGATATTCGTCACGGCACGGGCTCACGGTTTCTGTTCTGTGCGGCGACGCAGTCACCGCTCAGGTCACCGCTGCGTTCTTGTCCGGTCGTCGCAGTCTCGGGAACAATCGTCGCGCGGCACCTCTCCCGTTATTCAAGAGGAATCCTTATGGTTCCTAGTGGATATTTTCTGCTGGCCTTGCTTTACTTTGGTTTTATCAAGGCATTAATTACCGTTTCCCTCACAGGCATATGTCTTTCATCGTATAAATGAAGCACGTTACCCTGCACACTGATGCGCCTGCAGCGATTTAGACATCCTAAGCACTCGGCTCACGGTTCCGTGAGTGGAATATTGCTTCCAAGCAAACCAATTTTCCCACGGAGCTTGCGATTGTATCCGGCCCATGGGGCCACTACCACCTCAGCGCCGCAATCGTCGTGGCTAGCCTATCAACTGGCACATATATGTAATATCCGAGGCTTATCAACTGGCGGCTAACGTCCGCGCGGGGCCCGATGTCCGAGCACTCAGCGTTTACTGTGCACGGTGCGGAACACTGCTGACCAGCGCCGTAATAAGCTACTCACGGCTCAGCGCTGAACATAGCTGGGCACTGTCAGCCCGCGGCGACACACGGCTCAGCGGCACGCACTATACAGGACTTCCCCGTCCGCGCCCGGCGCCGCACCGCCCGCCCCCGTGACGTGGCGGCATCGCGTGCACCCTGTCACGCCCCTGTCGCGCCGTTCATACCACCCGCGACTGTTGTTTTTCCGTCTGACGACCGTGGAAAATCACTCAGTGACAGTGCACGCGTCACAACAATCGTCCGGTTAGGCCTGAGAGCGTGCCCACCGTCCGGTGACGGCACTCAAAGACCGGACCGGCAGCGCATGGCCCGACCCCGGTCAGTGATACGGGCACGGCGAATCGTGAATGAAAACTCGCCCGCTATGCCCACTATCAGCGTGTCAGCCTTTGGAGCGGTCAGCGCACCCGAACAGCATGCAGAGATCTTACCTACTATTAAAGTTAACGACTGCAGCTCGGTCATGTGTTATAGAATAAAGCTGTAGCGAAACATGTCACAAGCTCGCTTCATCAACTGCCGTTCAAACCGATAAAAAGACGGTTCGTTCAACTGAAATAAATCAATCGACAGGAATGCTTTGATATTGGGTCCAAAAATAACTAAATGGATCCAATAAAATCACCTGTTTATGATGAAGAACAAAGCTTCGCTCAGACAATAGTCGTGCTTCACTGACACTGACGTCTCCATCCATAGCAAAGGTAACCGTCCGCGGACCCGGTACACCAGAAGCAGCTTTAATTCTCCTCTTCTGTCCATTAGGCCATCAATCTGCCCTGATCTGGTATGTACAGACCGGACTCCAACAGCAGCTCACCGCATACCGTTCGCTGTAGGTATAGCTATACCAGCGCCACTCCGGGCCGCCACAAATCCTCATCTGCCGCCACAGGTCGGTTCCGTACCTATTCACCGCCCGCTCGGAATCGTAGCCCCACTAACGGTGTGTTTATTACCGCTGTAATTGGCCCCGGACGTCCATCGGAAAAAGGCCGCGGCTGTCTCGGTGGCTACCGCGCCGTGATCGTCTCTACAGCCACTGAGCGCCACGTCTGGGTCAGTGGCCACCACGCGCCATGATTGTCTCAGTGGCCACTCTGCGCCGTGATTGTCTCAGTGGCACTCTGCGCCGTGATTGTCTCGCCGGCGGGACGCGCCACACGAGCCGTCAGTCCTGATTTCCGGACCGGCCAGTGACGGCCGGTCCTCGAAGAATGAAGCCCTTGGTCGTCGCCGGGCGGCAATGACTCATCGAGAGATCGATGGCGCCCGGGGATGACGCTCCACGAGACGACTATGTCGGAGGACGCTTCTCGTGCGTCGTGAGATGGCGCACGAAAGACGCCGCCAGCCTAGATGGCGGCTGTCTGAGCGCAGTCGTGCGCATAAAACACGGCCGTTTTTTTCACCACACCAACACCCAGAAGACGGTCACGGCCCCTCCTAAACGGGTCACCCGGATTGGACGGATGCTGCGCGGCCAGTCCGCGATTCTCACACCGACTCTCGCCGCGCGAATCACGGCCGTGCCCCGCGCCGCCGGCGGCGGCGGGCCGGCCGGCGGTGCGCGACGTCCGCGCGGCGCGGCAGACGAGACGAGCGCCGCTTTCCGGGGAATGTGGGCTCACCGCGGCCGGCGGGACCACCATCTGGCGCGACCACAGCTCCCGGAACATTGACCGGACGGCGGACGGCGGACGGCGGACGGCGGCCGCCGCGCGCGCGCTGTATGTGTGCGTGTGTTTGTGTGTCCCTGCAGCGGTGTCACGGGTCACCGGCGCTGGCCACTCGGCCGAGGTAATTAGCCGCGCCGGCAGCGGCACGGCACACGCGCCGCGGTCGTGCCCGCACACGCAGCGCGCCGCCGCCGCCGCCGGGCTGAGCCGAGCTAATGGCACCGCTGAAGGTCGGCGCACCGGCCGCGGAGAGCGACAGATCCTCCGCTGGGGGAGCACAGCACAGCCCGGCGGCAAATGACCATTAGGGCCGGGACTTGAGACCATGCGATGTCGGCACTACATAGATAAAGCGTGATTTGCGGAGGCCTACTTAGCACATTACTAAAGAGGACACCATACTGGCTACTGCTCATTAACAGTACGCATCTTCATCGATTTTGATGAGTGAACCATTTCTTTATCCATCAACCAGTACCCTCATCCATGCACCTACTCGAATGTAGTGGGGAGTCGCAGCGGCCACTGGAATATAAAATACCGTGACACGGGTCACGGGCTATCCGACCCGTCTCTTAGGCGGCGCTACATACATGACTTTTTGGTGAGAAGTTGGCGTTGAAAGGCTTGCTACCGAGGTGATACGTCTGAAGTCACAGACACAGCCTCAGGATACTTATGAGATAAAACGGCTGCCGTCCCAGCTCGGGAAGTGTTCCGCCGATTAGTGAGAGCTGACTGGACGGTGGCTTATTCGCCGAGATGACACGGCGGGCGGAACAGCTGCGGAAGTGTTCCGCCGAGTGGTGAGAGCTGACCGGACGGTGGCTTATTTGCCGAGATGAAACGGCGGGCGGAACAGCTGCGGAGGCGCCCGGACAAATGAGTTAGAATAACCAGCGGTGCACCGACCAGCCGGACGCTCTGTCCTCGGGCGTGGTGACCTATCAGCCAATGTTCAATGACCGGGACAAGCTCGTCTTCCTAGCGACCAGGAACACCGGACTTCGTTCCGTTTTTTCTAACAATTTCCACGCGCGAATCGCTTGTGTCACTCCATTAAACCAACCCAATGGAGAAGTGATGAGGGGTAATGACATATAACGCGATTATGTCGTCCGGTAATAAGACAGCGGAGACTGATGTGGCTCTGAGCTGAATTTGTTCGATTGCCGTGGCGGTAGCTCGGCTAACAGTTGCCTTTGTCCACCACTGACCGGGCACGGACACCCAATATGTTATTATGCATCATCTGTCTTGATGTGGATCAGAATGGCGTGCCTTTGATGTTATTCATCCGATGATGACAAGCAAATGACCGTGTCAGGGTATCCCAGCAGTCATGCCATGTTCTGATGACATAATCATCTCCGGAATCATTACATCATAACATCAGCCTCGTCAGTGGCGCATCAACAAACCGGATTTTACACTCCAGAGAGCGGCAGCGGTTCGCGCACTATACCACAGTCACCGATCAGCCGCTGGTCGCTTATTCTTCATTCAGACCTACCCAGACACCATAGAACAAGCCCTTGCCAGTTGACTGTTCAGTGTTTTATTCTTCGATTGTTCTTGCTACATTTGTTACGGCCATTGCTTGAGATAATGAAGAGCACCGGTATTCGTCACAAAAACTAACCACTAAATGGCACATACACACAAAACTTGTGGTCTTTTACCGTTTACGGCAGTTGACTGAATCGATAGTTCCGCCTTCGCTCGATCCGAGCTCAGAAGACACACGCGGATGTCATCCCTAAACCCCGGCCCACGGCGCTCATTGCTCATTGCTCACATCGCGTCAGAGCTGTGACGCTATATGGTCACGTCACATGACGTCACGGCGCGCCACGGTCGGCTGTGCGCCCGGCCCGATTGGCGCAGTTTAATCACTCTGTTGACTTGCTCAATGCTCAGACTCTCCAGGCGTCCTCGCGCCAGTCAATCGGGACACACTTCCTGCCGGGACAGTGATCACAGCCCGCGGCGGTACGTCTAACTGTCCGCCCGTCCCCCGGTCCCACATTCACGCACACACGCGTACACACCAGTGACGGCCGGCGGGGGCCGCTCCGACGCAGGCCAGTGCGCCGGCTAAGCGGCCAGGCCGGTTCCCAGGGCCGCCGACGAGTCATCACCGCGCGGCGGTGTGTCAGTTCTGGTGGGCGCGTCTCGACCGCCGCCGGCGCCGGAACTGGCGCCCACGGCACCCTCTCGTTCAGAGCGGGGCCGCGCACCCACGGGCTGCGAGCTGCTTCACCCGGCGGGCGGCGGGGTGAACAGAGACTAGAGAGTGACTGGCGCCGGCCGCAGGCGGCCCCGGGAAATCCGGCGCGCCCGGTGCGTGCAGGCGCACTGTGTGCCGGCTGGGA